CACACACCACATGCTGGCCCAAAGGCTCCACTGTGGGAAGCAGTGTTCCTGAGTGGGCTGGCATTGCTGGGCAGAGGACCCAAGGCCCAGGATGGGGGCAGGATGGGCAGCGGGAGGAACTCTGCCTCCCATTCTGGCCAGAGCTTGGCAGCAGAGACCCTGGCAGGCCTGCCCCATAAGGACTTCATGGCCATGTGACCCAACATCACTCCCTGCAAGCCATTCCACGTCTGCCCCGGCCACCAGATGGCTGGGTTACTCAGAGGACCTATGGGACTGAGCTGCTCAAAGATTAAAGCAGAGCTTGAACACGAACTGGGCCCACCCCTGCAGGGAAACCTCAGGATCCCGTGGACACCACCACCACCCTTCTTTCCTCTCCAGTAACTGAAGAATGCTGCCACCAGTCCCAGAGGAACCGCTGGCCTCCACCAGCCAGAGCCACCTTGGGGAAGCAGAGACCACCCAGGGCTGTTAAGTTTTCTAGTATGTCCCCCTGAAAGCTTCACTCTGGGAAGGCCCTGGCTGTCCTCAGTAGCCAGGACTGTATCCAAGAAGGCTCATGTCCCCCTCCCAAGTACCCATTTCCAAACGAGCTTCTCCTTCCCAGGAACTCCACCTCAGCAGGGGAAGCTCTGGTTTCTCCTGCAATGAAGGCCCACCCACCCACCATGGGGACCGCACAACCGCCCTGCACCAAGGCCACACTCTGACAAAATGCTCACAAGCCGCTCCACGGATACATAAAAAGGGTTTTATTTGCCAGCGGATGGGGGTGAACAGGAACCTAATCGAACAAGCCGAACCCCATGTCGTCATCTGACTCCTCCGACTCCTCCTTCTTCTCGTCTTTCTTTTCCTCAGCTGTGGACAGAAGAGGGCAGTGAGCAAGGCCCGAAATGCAAAGCGGAATCCCAGCGGGGACACCACCCTGTCCTCCACTCACCTGCAGCGGGGGCGGCGCCAGCAGCCGGAGCGGCAGATCCTGGAGCAGCAGAGACAGCGACCGCCCCACCAGCAGGAACGCTGGCCAGCTTGCCGATCCCTACGGAAATCAAGGAAAGTAAGAACAGCAGGTGCTCCGTCTGAAGGCTACCCGCAGTCTGTCGAATGTATGGGGACCCAGCACCAAGTGCCAGAGTCACCAGCTCCTCTCTTCTCCCACCTGTGCCAAATACACACACCCGGGCCCCTTCGCGTTCCCTATGTGGAAACTCAGCTTCCGAGAATCCCCCCCCAAAAAACCGAGCCACAGCACCCCACCACGGTTTCAACCCGGCAGGGACGGAGTCTGCGGCCCCGTCCAGGTCCTCATCCGGGAGCTCAGACAGGGCTGCGGGCTGAGCTGGCTTTGCCTCACTGGGCCCACAGGGACGCCGTCGTCCCAACGGTACAGCTTCCACACATTCCCGTTGGCTCAGCCCTGTCACCAGCACAGCGGGGCAGAGCCCGTGGTCACCCCAGGCAGCAGCCCCAGTCTGTGCTCCGAGCCCCTCCCGGAGAGCACACGGTGCCCCCGAGCAGCGCCGCCCCGCCGCCAGGGCTGTCCAGAAGCGCCCCCGGCGCAAGCCCACGGAAGCGGCCGCCTCTGGGCGGGGCTTCTGGAATACTCTGGTCCACAAGCGAAACCCGGCAGGCCACGGGCTGGCCCGCGGGCATGAGAATGGACCCTGACCACGAAAGCCGGCCGCAGGCAATCTCACCCTGGGCGATGACGTCTTCGAGGTTTTTCCCGTTCAGCTCACTGATGACCTAGAATGACCACAACAGGCCGTTACCAGAGACTCACTTCCACGCCTCCTGCCTTCACTACGCCTTCTCCAGCCGGGGCAGGGCTGGCCGCAGGAGCGCGCCGTGAGAAGACGCCCCGAAGCCTGCCGGCCTGCCCTGTCCGGCGCGGAGGTTAGCACCCGCACGTGGCTTCTCCGAAGACGCGCTGCAAGGGGGAGCCGGACACTCCTGCGACTCCTCGAGACGGGACAGCGGAGCAACTCGGCGTAACCCCCCCTCGCGGAGGAAAGTCCGTAGGGGCGGCGCCCTAGCTCGCCCCGAAGCAGGCCGGACCCCGCCTCGGGACCCCGCGCGCACCCCTAGCTGCGCTTCCCCCGGGGCAGGCCCACGGCGGGGACGCCGGAGCCGAGCGGCGCGGCTACCTTGTTGAGCCGGTCGTCATCCGCCTCGATGCCCACACTGTCCAGGATCTTCTTGATGTCCTTGGCGCTGGGGGAGGCGTTGCCCCCGAGGGCGGCCAGCAGATAGGAGGCGACGTAGCGCATCCTGATGCGGAAGGAGAGCACAGGCGGCCTTACCCGGAGGCCTCCCGCCCCGGCCCCGGCCGCTTGCGCTCCGGCCGCCGCCTCCTGCCAAGCCCCGACCCGCGCCCCCCCCCCCGCCTGCCTCCCGCAGCCCCCCAGCGCCCCACAGGCCGGCCCGTGCCCCGGCCCAGCCGCCCACTGACTCGGCGGGAAGAAGCCTCACGCGTGCGACTTCGGCGGCGTCAGGGACGGAAAGGAAGGCGCCTGCGTGGGGGGCGGGGGTAATCCAGTACCCAGAAGCCCTCGGGACACGCGCGCCGCGCCGAGCGGGCGCCTCCGAGTGACGTCACGCGACGCCCAGGCCGCGGGGACTGGAGCCTTCAAGCCGCGCTATCCGGCTGCCTCAGCCCGCGAACTCCAAGCCCCAGGATGCACAGCTGCCGGAAGTGCGGGCGCCCCGCCTGTGCGGGTGCACGTGGCCGGCCCTCCTGGCTGGCTGCTGGCAGGGCTCCGCGGGGACCGTGCGCAGCCGTGAGGTGCGGAGCGGCGCGGCCTGGGCCCGACGGCTCCTCCCCTGCGGGGTCGCGTGGGCTCCGAACTGACCTCCGCGCCCGCGCGGACGCCAGCGTGTGCCACACATTCTTGCTCGGTGCCCGGGAGCCCGCGGCAGGCTTTCGCGCGGGGAGCGAGCAGGCCCGGCCCTGCTACTCCGCAACACGGGTTCCAGAGCGAGGACACTCGAAAGTGGACAAACGAGGCCGACCCGGGCCGACCGACCCCCGGAGGGAAGATGTAGGGCGAGCACCCGGCAGAAGGGTGGGACGCCGAGGCCCCGCGGCGGCTGCAGTTGGCGGCCCGTCACTAGCAGGGAAGCTGCGGGGGTAGCGCACCGAGCACTGGGGTGCTCGTGCAGGCCATCCCCTTCCTGGGGGTGTCGTCGCCGTCATCGCCTCCATTTTATAGTGGATGCGGCGCGGAGAGGTTCTGCTCAAGGTCTCACACTTGGGGTAGAGTGGAAACCCTCCCGGCAGGGGTGGGGTGCTGCTGCAGGGCGCAGGGAGGGGTCGTGTGCTCGGAGTGCTGTAATGCGGGAGGCTGAGCGTCCTGCACGCAGGTCAGCCCACCGGGTGCTTCCCCCGACGCAGTCGTCACCAGCCTCCCCCTCCAGACTGCTTTCCCTCGTCCCAAGGTGCCTTCCACCCCTGCTGAAGAACTCCCTATTCCCTCCTGCAGCCCCCGGCACCCACCAGTTTAATTTTCGTCTCAAGGAAAGTTGACTCCTCTGGTGGCCTCGCGTGGAAGCGTGCAGTATTTATCCCCTGGGATCTGACTTAATTCAGCGCAACGTTCCCAAGGTTCCCTCACGTGCCGGCATGTATCCGAATTTCCTTCCCTTTTAAAGCTGAGTAATATTCTTGTGATTGTTTTTCTTTTTAAGTCTTCTGGCAAACATGGGGCGCCTGGGTGGCTCAGTGGGTTAAGCCTCTGCCTTCGGCTGGGGTTGTGATCTCAGGGTCCTGGGATCCAGCCCCGCATCAGGCTCTCTGCTCAGCGGGGAGCCTGCTTCCTCCTCTCTCTGCCTGGCTCTCTGCCTACTTGTGATCTCTGTCAAATAAATAAATAAAACCTTAAAAAAGTCTTTTGGCAAACAGATGGGACGCTTGGGTGGCTCAGTAGGGGAAGCGTCTGCCTTCTGCCGGGGTCATGATCCCCGGGTCCTGGGATCGAGTCCTGCATCAGGCTCCTTGCTTGGCGGGGAGACTTCTCCCTCTGCCTCTGCCTGCTGCTCCCCCTGGTTGTGCTGTCTCTCTCTCTCTCTCTCTCTCTGAAATAAAAATCTTTTTTTTTTAATTTTTTATTTACCTTATTTTTTTAGTTTATTTTTATTTTATTTTTTAAATAAAATCTTTTTAAAAAAAGTCTTCTGGCAGCAAGTTAGAAACTGAATGTGTGACAGGAGCTGGGGACAACGGAGGACTGGCAGAACTGCCCATCCTGGTGGGAGGGCTGGTGGCCGTGGGGGAGCTGGAGGAGAAGAGGGTGCCATGATTAATTTGGGGCGGAGTGCCTGAGCGCAGGTGGGATAGCCTCCCTCAAGAGACCTAGTTTGAGGTTCTTGGCTTTGGCCCTTTCCAGTTATGTGATCTCCGGCAAACTCTGACCTGCCAGAGCCTCCTCCTCCTTCCCTGTGAGATGCAGACAAAGATGGAAGGAGTCAACGTGTGGTGAAGCCCACTGCGGGGGCACTTGGGCCAAAGTGATTGTCAGGAAAGCAGGATTACAGGAGTTGGGACCAGGTCTCCCGACAAGGCCCAGGAAGGCTTCCTGGAGGAGGCCCTTGAGGCCGGCTGGGGAATGGCACAGTTAGTGCCATTCAGCCCCTAAAGCCGTCCTCCGTACGGAGATTGCACCAGCTCCCTTTAACCTGGGGCCGGAACGCTCAGCTCCAGAGAAGGGCGGGCCCGAGGGCCGGGAATCTCTGAAGGGGCGGGTTTCGCGCGCGCGGCGCGGGCCTTCCCAGCGGGAGAGGGAGGCCGGACCCAGACAAACCAACAGGAAGCGGAGCGCGGCTGGGCTGGCGGGTGGCGGGTGGGGTCCGCGGCCGCGTCTCCAGGGCTGCGGGCAGGCCGAGGGCAGGCGGGCGGGGACGGACTCTGAGCCCTTTCGCCTGCGGTCCCAGCCAGGAACAAGGGGCGTCCTGACCGCGCGGGACCCCGACTCCCGGTCCTCTCGGGAACGCGCCGACGGAAACCGGCGCTGGGCGCGCACCGGGGACGGCGCCCAGGGTCGAGCGCAGGTACGCGCAGGGCGCGGGCGGGCGGTGGGCACGGCCGGCTTGAGGGGTGCTCTCCCGGCCAGGACCGGCTCCCAAGCCGTGGGGGCCTGGAATGTGCTGACCACTGCCCTCATCAGCAGACCTAGGTACGAACAGGAAAGCGTGAGAGAACCCTCCTCCAGCGGTCAGGAAATGGGGGTCCCATCGCGAGGACCCCAAACGCGGTGTGCCTTTCACTCCAGCTCCCCCCCCATTCACTTATCTGACACAGACGGACACAATCACCCCTTTCTTTGCCGGGGCCACTGCCCCCACGTGGTAGATAAGAGTCCTCCACCTCTGGTCAAAGCTGGTGGGTGTGAAGGATGGTGGTGGGGCTGGACCCCAAAGCTTATGCCCAGAGAGGGCGGGGAGGGGGTGGACAGCCAGAATGGCCTGACCGCTCTGGGAGTCTCTTGTTCACATTTTCACAAGTAGGATGTGAAGCTTCATTTCTCCCTCCTCCCTCCAATCAGGTTCTCCAGGCTCCTCTGCACACAGGTCTTCCTGCCTGCCGCCCTCCCAGTCCTGGGGTTCTCATTCCCCAGCCCTATTTCAACTCTGATCTGTCCAGCTGAGGCTCTGGGCTCTGTGGACCAGTTGGCCTAGCTCAAGACTCCCCCCACCCAGCCAGAATCCCCATGCGCCTGAGTAGGAGGAGGAGGGCCCATCCCCACCCCCTCCCCCTCCTCCCCCTGACTCCTCAGCCCCCCCAGGCCGTGCCTGAGCAGGCCTGTTTGGCAGGCTGGGACATGTCTGGCCCCCGAGGACAGCCTGTGGGCTATGGCTGCAGAGGAGGAGTGGCTGGAGCCCGAGGCAGCTGCTCCAGAAGATGCTGCGGGAGAGGTTGTGGATGCTGTGGATGGCGAGCCTGGGGACCCCCATCTCCTGCTTGGGAACCGGTTGAACCTGCACCTGTACCCCCGGGGCTGCCACCGGCTGTTACATCTGTGTGCGCAGCGGGCCCCGCAGCTGCTGGAAGTGGAGTTCTTGCAATTGAGTGGCCACGAGGACCCTCGGCTGTTGGAGGCCACCCTGGCCCAGGTGCCGGCCAACCTGCAGCACCTTCGCTCCCTGGTCCTCAGAGGTGAGCCCCACCCGGTCCCAGCCCTGTCCCAAACCTGCCCCCCCCCCCCGACAAGGTGAACCTGGCTGAGCCCTGGCTCCTGGAGGCCGCAGCTGCCCAGTGGGGTCTTCCAGCAGACCCCAGTGTGGGTACTCTTCCTGGGGCAGGTCATGGGCGATAGCTGTCAGCTGAAATGAGCCTGCAGGGTCTGTGCCTGTGTCCCTGCATCTGCTGGTATCTGCATCTGTCCCTCTCCGACTGGGGTTGGGGTCAAGATCTGTGCCTCCAAGCTGAGCTGAACCCTGCAGCTCTGACTCAGAGGGCGACTTCTGCTTTCCCCCTTTCTAGGTGGACAACAGCAGGACGTGCTGGGGGCCTGCTCCCGGGGCTTCCTCACCACACTGCCCGCTGGCCTGAGTGACTTGGCCCGCTTGGCCCACCTAGATCTGAGCTTCAATAGCCTGGAGACACTGCCGGCCTGTGTCCCGCAGATGCGTGGCCTGAGCACCCTCCTGCTGTCTTACAATTGCCTCTCAGAGCTCCCGGATTCCCTTGGAGCCTTTCCCTCCCTCTCCTTCCTCTCTGTGAGCCACAACTGCCTGCGAACGCTGCCCCCAGCACTGGGATCCCTGTCCGCCCTGCAGCGCCTTGATCTCTCAGAGAACCTTCTAGACACCCTGCCCCCAGAGATTGGAGACCTGAGCAGCCTCACCGAGCTCAATCTGGCTTCCAACCAGCTGCAAGGCCTGCCGATCTCCCTTGGTAAGTCGGAGTCGTGCTCCTCTGGCTCCCTGGGCCTGACAGGGAGTGCCCTTCAGCCGCTGCCTGGTTCCACTCTTGTCCTCCATGGGGGCCCCTGCACACACTGGCTTGGCCCACCTTGGAGCCTTCAGTCCTCCTTGGTGGCCCTTGTTTGCCGTCCCTCCCTGGCCAGGGCGGGGAGTGGCCCCGAGGGTCCTCTGCCCACCCTTAGCTGCCCCCTGCCCCCAGTGGGGCTGCGGTCCTTGCGGTTCCTTATTTTGCACAGCAATCTCCTGACCTCGGTGCCCTCTGGCCTGGCCCACCTCCCACTGCTTGCCCGACTGGATCTGAGGGACAACCAGCTTCGGGACGTGCCTCCCGAGCTACTGGATGCCCCCTTTGTGCGCCTTCAGGGGAACCCCCTGGGCAAGGCTCTACCTGCCTCCCACAGTGCCCCAGGTAGGCCTGTTGCTGGGAAGGGTCAGCCCACAGACAGGCCGGGGCGCAGATACCAGAGATCTCCTAACACCTTGCCTGTGCTGCCCAGAGACGCCTGTGACCCGCGAAATGCCCAGACTGTTCCTGAACTCAGACTTGGACAGGTGCTTGCGGGGAAGAGGAGGGGGCGGGAGACGCACGTCTCTGCCTGGTTGCCTTGTATGTGATGAGCACTGTGCTCGTGCCCCCGGGGTCTTCTGGAGTTTCCCTGGGCTGCCTGATCTAGACACACCCCTTCTGTTGTCTGACCTGATGCCCACCCCGTCATGCAGCTTCCTGGTGACTCCCCAAGGCTGCTTGGTGACCCTGGCCTGTGGGGTCCGCCTGAGGTTTCCTGCTGGGGCCACCGCTGACCCTATCAACATCCACTATCGACTCCGGCTGCCAGAGCCACGCCTTGTCCCCTTGGGTCCCCATGACGCCCTGCTCAGCGCTGTCCTGGAGCTGCGGCCCCATGGGGTGGCCTTCCAGCAGGCACGGCCAGGGCATTCGGGGAGGGGGGCAGAGCAGGCGGGCCCAGGCATGGGCCCCAGTGCTCACACCAGCCCGGCCTGGCAGGAGGTGGGCCTGTGGCTACTCTTTGTGCCCCCCCGGGCCCGGCGCTGCCGTGAGGTGGTGGTCAGGACCCTGAGTGATGACAGCTGGAGCGACTTGGAGACGCACCTGGAGGAAGAGGCACCCAAGGTGGAGCCCCCCAGGCCTCCCCGGGAAGGAGCACTCGGCCCCCGGGAGCGCCTCCCCCATCTGCCCCGCCTGGTGGCTCTGCCCTGACCCTGACTCCCCTCTGACCCTGTTCCCTCTGACCCCACCCTCCATGCCCAGCGGCTTTGGGCTCACTGCCAGGTGCCCCACTTCTCGTGGTTCCTCGTGGTTTCACGTCCTGTATCCAACACCTGCCTTGTGCCACCGGAGGGGACATTGCTGTGCTCCTCTGGACATCCTGGGGTCAAAGTCACATTCCCCCCTGGTGCCACCGATGAGCCTCGTCGCGTCCGCATGCAGGTGTGGGCAGGGTAGCCACTGGGGGTGGTGGGTGGTACCTCAGCACCAAGATGAGTGTCCCGGGCGCCCGACTTGCCCCAGGTGGTACACATGGCTGGCAGAGAGCTTCGAGCCCTCCTTGAGGAGCCCGGGGCGGCGGCCAGCCCCCTGCTGTGCCTCTCCCAGCGTGGCACCTCCAGCTTCCTCCAGCCTGTCACCGTGCAGCTGCCTCTGCCCCCTGGTGTCACAGGTGAGAGGCGGCCAGGGTGTGTATGTGTAGGTGGGGGTTGCCTACCTGAACGCAAAGCCACGGGGTGGAGGGGGCCATGCTCTCGGCAGGGGAGTCCCTGCCCTGGATGGCCCAGCCTGTGGCCCCCTCGCGTCCCCAGGCCTGAGTCTGGATCGCACTTGTCTTCACCTGCTGTACTGGGCGCCTCCTGCAGCGGCCTGGGATGACATCACAGCCCAGGTGGTGCTGGAGATCACCCACCTGTATGCTCGCTTCCGGGTCACACACTTCTCTTGGTCAGTGCCCCCCCCACCCCGCCCCAGCTTCCTCGGCCCGCCCCGCAGCGCACCCGAGTGCCGCCCACATTCATCCGGGGCCCTCGCAGGTACTGGCTCTGGCACACCACCAAGAGCTGTGTGCAGGGCCTGGCTCGGAAAGCCTGGGAGCGCCTGCGGCTGCACCAGGTCAACCTCATCGCCCTGCAGCGGCGCCGGGACCCCGAGCAGGTCCTGCTCCAGTGTTTGCCCCGCCGCAAGGTAGGCGCGGCGCCCAGGGGTCTGGAAGGGCTGAGTCAGGTGGGCGGGGGCTGTGTGGGGGTGCAGGGCACAGAGCTCCTTCCAGCAGGTGTTCCGCCCCCACCCCCCAGGTGGACGCCACCCTGCAGCGGCTGCTGGACCGGTACCGAGGCCCTGAGCCCTCTGACACAGTGGAGATGTTCGAGGGCGAAAAATTCTTTGCTGCCTTCGAGAAGGGTATTGACGTGGATGCTGGTATGCTCCCCCCGCCCAGAGGGGATGCCAGGGTCTGTTCTCCAGGCTCCCTCCTGAGCCCATCCCGCCCCCCAGATCGCCCAGACTGTGTGGAGGGCAGGATCTACTTCGTGTTTTACTCACACTTGAAGAACTTGAAGGAAGTGTATGTGACCACCGCCCTGGATCGGCGGGCTCAGGCTGTGAGGGGCCAGGTGGGTCAGCGGCCCAGGATGCCCCCAGCGGCCTGGGCAGAGGCCAGAACACTGAACTCACCTCACCCCAATGCCAGGTGTCCTTCTACCGGGGAGCAGTGTCGGAGGAGGTGCCCGAGGAGGCAGCGGCTGCCCGGCAGAGGAAGGGCGCAGACCCCCTGTGGATGGCCACTCTGCCCATCAAGCTGCCGGTGTGGCCTGGGGTGGGGGGCAGCGTGGGTGAGGGAGGGGGAGGGCAGGGCCGGCACGGTAGCCCGGGGCTGGTCAGGGGGCAGAGGGCAGAGCTCACTGCACCCCTTCCTCCTCACAGAGACTGCGGGGGTCCCAGGGGCCAGGGCAGGGCCAGGGGGCTAGCCTCTCCCTGGCTCCTCTGAACCTGGGTGATGCTGAGACTGGCTTCCTGACCCAGAGCAACCTGCTGAACGTGGCTGGGCGCCTGGGCACTGACTGGCCGGCTGTGGCCCTGCACCTGGGCATGCCCTACCGAGAGCTGCAGCGCATCCGACACGAGTTCCGGTGAGTCCCTTTAGGTATCCTGATGCCGGCTCTGGATCGGCCTCAGGCCTGGGTCCAGGCCTACGTGAGGCTGGTGAAGTTCTGTCCAGGGTGGGAGGAGACAGGGCAAACAGGCAGGAAAGGGAGGGTCCGGCCACAGCTCACCCAGGGAGCAAGCAGTGCCCGGAGGATGGTGAGTAGAGCCTTGGGTGTGAAGGCTAGGCCTCTCCGGCACTGTTCTCCCTCTCCCTGCCAGGGACGACCTGGACGGTCAGATCCGTTGTATGCTCTTCTCCTGGGCTGAGCGCCAGGCAGGGCAGCCTGGGGCCGTGGGTCTCCTAGTGCGGGCCTTGGAGCAGAGCGACCGGCTGGATATAGCTGAAGAGGTGAGGGCTATCTTGGAGCTCGGCCGCCAAAAGTACAAGGACAGCATCCAGCGTGCAAGCCTCGCCCCCAGGGACCTTGCCCCACCTGAGCCTTCAGCATCACAGTCCCCAGAGTCTGCCCAGGCCTAGACCCCACTGACTTGGGGCTGGCCCCTGATGTACCCTGGCCAACGGTCAGATGCCCCCATTTTCCCACCTGCCCCGTGTATGGGGACAGTGACCTCCCCGCGTGTAACAAATGTGTACTGTTGTGGTGGCTTCTCAGAGTTCAGTTTATTTGTTGGGTGGAGGAGTGGGTGGAAGGCAAGGGGTGGCCTGAGATCAGAGGCCTGGACCCTGCTGGGAGGGGACTTTGTGTAAAGACTTCACACACACCCACCCGTTGCTCCTGCCTCCTGCCATGTGCCCAGGAGGGGGAGGAGCTCCAGCTACAAAGTAACATTGGTGTAGCAGCCATGGATACAAAGTCACCGGTGTGCAGGGCCCCGCGACACCCGCGGTGGTGGGCAGGTGCTCCGCCCGATCAGTCCCCTCCAAGCGCCCACCGTGCGGCCGGGGACCGCTCCTGCCCGAGGACACCCTCTTCCGAGCATTGCCTGCCACCCGTTGGCCCGCCGGGGCGAATCCCTGGGCCCCTGGTCCATGCGGGGCCGCGAGGCCCGCAGACCCAGGAAGGGCTTTCGCGACCGGGCGGCTGCGGCCAGGCCGGCGCAGTGGCCGCGGCGGCCGGGAGGGGGAGCCGGAGGCCGCTCGCCGAGGGCCGGGGCAGGGGGCGGAGCGCGCGCAGCGCTGAGCGAGCGGACGCGCCTCCGCTCCGAGCAGCCGGGCGCGCGGCACGGCGGGGAGGCGAGCGCGGCGGCGGCGGCAGAGCGCGCGGTGAGTGGCGGCCCGGCCTCTCCCTTCCGCTGCGCCCACCGGCTGCGGCCCGGCTGCGGGGAGGGCGGGGGGCGGCCAGGGGCGCCGCGGCGGCCGGGAAGGGTGACAGCTGCCCCGACGAGGTGGTTCCGGGGCGGGGAGCGGGGGAGGTCCCGGGGCCGGCGATGCTCTGACCGGCTGCCGCCCGGGTGTGGGAGGCCGTGCTCGACCCCGGGCGGTGCCGGGCGCGCTCCCCGCGCACACGTGTCCCCACGGGGTGGGAAGCTGGGGCCAGAGACCCAGACGCGGAGGCCAGACCGCTGGGTAGGGGGCGCACACGTGGGACCCCGCCGGACTTAGGTGGACACGTGCGTGGCTGGAGTCGCCGTCGCCTGGCGGGGGCAGCGTGACCGTCTGGGCCCCGTCTGGACCCCGTCCTGAGGGACGAGGTGCCTGAGCCGGCCTCCGAGCTGGAGCCCGCAGCCCCCACCGCAAGCCTCCTTTGTTCGCGGGTTGGGGCCCCTCCGACAGGATGGAAAGCTACCCTCGGCCCAGGGGGAAGGGACGCGGGGAGATTGAATGGGCAGCCAGGGGCCAGTGCCAGGCTCTGATCGGCACCCCCATCGCCTTCCGTGGGGGCTGGGCGAGGGGGAGCTCAGCGGCTTCATTTGTGGGAGATTTTACCCCTGGGGAGTCTGGAAGGAGCAGCAGCATCCTGTGGCTGAGCTCTGTGGGCAGCGCTGTCCACTGTCTGCCTTCTTTCTCAGTTTACCTGGCTGCAGAAGTGTGGGGGGCGCAGTGAGGGCTGACAGCCCCAGCCGGGGTGGCTGGGTTTCCACGGCAACACGAGGTGCCCCAGGGAGGTCGTTCCACAGAGGTCTCCAGAGCAGGGAGTGGGAACGGTAGAGTGAGGTCCGACAGAGGGGGTTCTGGGTCCAGTGGACCCCTTGCCAGTCTCCCCAAGCTGGAGCTCCTTCATTCTCACTGCTGTCAGCCGGGCGACCCTCTTCCCTGCTCGGTTCTGGGCCTGAGGCATGTCATGTGAGACCCCAGACTCATGTCTCCTCAGGCTTGGGATCCCTGGGCCTGCCCCTCTTCCCTACACAACTGCTCCCCTCCTCACGTTACACACTCCGTCTGACTTCCAGGACCCCCGTCACCCAGGGTCCCTCACCCTGGACGGAAGGTGGGGGTCTGGTACCGTTCAGGGAGGCGGGCTCCCTCAGTCCCCTGGAGGGCAGGGCTAGGTCTCAGGGAGACCCTGCCCCTGACAGCCTTGGGCCACTGAGCTGGCTGTAGCCAGTCCACCTGGAGGTGGGTTGGGTGGGGGTGGGGAGGGAGAATCAGGTTGAAGTTCAGAGGCCAGATTTTTATCTGCAGGCTAGGGCACCGGGAAGCTGGTGCTGGGGATAGATACCCTGGGTGTGTGCGTTGGGGGCCCCTTGGCTAGGCAGAGGGCTCTGGGAGTGCCCATTCCGTGCCCTCTGTACCTGCCAGGTGAGCAGTCCTGGGTGGCAGCCGCAGGCCTCTTGACACCTAGCCAACCTCTCCCTGGCCTTTTTTTTTTTTTTTTTAAAGATTTATTTTTTTATTTATTTGACAGAGATCACAAGTAGGCAGACAGGCAGGCAGAGAGAGGAGGAAGCAGGCTTCCCACTGAGCAGAGAGCTGGATACCGGGCTCGATCCCAGGACCCTGGGATCATGACCCGAGCCGAAGGCAGAGGCCTTAACCCATTGAGCCACCTAGGTGCCCCATCCCTGGCCTTTTAAAAAGTATTTATTTAGGGGCGCCTGGGTGGCTCAGTGGGTTAAAGCCTCTGCCTTCGGCTCAGGTCATGATCCCAGGGTCCTGGGATCGAGCCCCGCATCGGGCTCTCTGCTCCGCAGGGAGCCTGCTTCCTCCTCTCTCTCTGCCTGCCTCTCTGCCTAGTTTCTCTCTATCAAATAAATAAAATATTTTTAAAAAAGTATTTCTTTATTTGAGAGACAGAGAGAGAGCAGGAGCAGGGGAGGGGCAGAGAGAGAAGCAGGCTCCCTGCTGAGCAGGTAGCCGGATGAGGGATTCATTCCTGGGACCCCAAGATCATGACCTGAGCCGAAGGCAGACACGTAACCATCTGAGCCCCCCAGGCATCCCAACCTTAGCTTTTTAATAGATGTGTATTGTTTCCTGTGTCCCAGAGTGCGGTTTCCATGAAATGTGTCTTCATCCAACAGACACAGGTCTCACGAACAGGAGTGGGCACAGACCCATCTCCACCCCCACGGGACAGATTGTCCACACACAGGATCTGAGCACAGAGAGCGCCCCATCCTCTGGGTCCCAGAGCCCTAGACAGATGCAGCCTGTGCGCTGCAGATGGGAACTCATGGGGCATCCAGGGTCGTGGCGGCCTCGGGCTGGGGTTCGTATGGGCGGCTGCCCTCGCTTGGCTAGGTCAACCTGAGTCAGGTCCACTGCCCTGTGGGCTGGTCAGGTGTCCGAGGCGGGGCCCTGGCTCTCAGAAGTTGTCACACCCCCTCCCATCCCTTCTCCCACAGCGGCAGAGAGCCTCAGCCCAAAGTGAAAGAGAAAGTCCCCCCCTCACCAAGGCCAGCCCCGCCCCGCCTAGCGGCCAATCCCCGCAGCGGGCCCCTCCCTCGGCCTCTGGGTCTACAGCTGCTGAGCCCGGTAGGCTGTAGTCCTGGAGGTGCTCCTTGGGGTGAGAGGGGTTGGGGCCTGTGGGGGTGGTGGGGCTGGAGGGGCAGGGGACACAGGAACAGATGGCCTGGGAAAGCTGAGGTGAAGGTCACCGGTCCTCAGAGGAACCAGGGGCGTGAGCCAGTCTGGTGACCCTGGGCGGTAGTGCTGTGGGTAAGAGCCTGTGACAGCTGGCCTCTGAGGGGGCCTGGGGAAGAGGCGGCAGGGAAGGCTCCGGGACTCTGGGAGGCCCAGGACAGGAGGCTCCGGAGGCTGGCTCTCCTGCCCTGTCTTTAGTGAGAGGGGCCCCATCTCCCCCAAACCCTAGAGTGGGTAGGGGAACTAACCCCAGGGAGCCTCAGTCCGGTATCCCCTTCCCAACTGCCCCCTACCCTGTGCTTCCAGAGGACCTGGTTTGTGCGTGTGTGTCTGTGTCTGTCTGGGAGTGGGATTCCTGGAAAGGGTGGGCAGGAGGGTGGGTGCTGGGCTGGGTGTGAGTGAGCCTAGTGCTTCTCCGAGGGGAGGGGCTGTCTGGGGTCCATGGGAGCGGTGGAGGGGGGCTGCACCAGGCGTGGCAGCATCTTCCTGGGTAGCTGTGAGCCGAGCCCAGGTTGGGGGGCTCCTCAGCACCTCCGGCCTCCATCCTGAAGGGGGCAGGCGCCAGCTGCAGCTGCTCGAGGAAGAGGGGGTCACCGCAGTCCGCAGTTGACCTGCCTGGCTGGCAGATTCACTGCCCCAGAGGCGCCTGGCCCTTTAAAGGCAGGGTGCGCTCCTGTGCGCGTTCAGTGTGCACGTGAGTGTGTGTGAGCGTGAGCGAGGCCAGCTGGGAAGCCGCGCGGGGGCGGGGGCGGGGGCGCCTTGAAGGGAAACTGGTGGCCCTGGGGATGGGGCCACGGGTGAGTGAGGGGCTCGGTGCCCTTGCATGAGACCTGGGGGGCAGCTTATTTCCCTGGTGTGCCTCTGAGTGGTCTTTCCCTCCTTCCGCTGACTCCCGTACCCTCTTCTAGAACAGAAGCGGTGGTTTTGAAATTCCCCGGAAAGTGGAGGACCGCCCCTTCCCCCTCTCTCCCACCCACGCTCCGCCCGCCACCACCCCTGTCTTCCCGCGGCCGGCGTCCACCTCTCCGGCTACCTGGGTGCACGCGGTTAAATGGCTGATAAGCAGATCAGGTCAGAACGTGACCCTGCCTTCGCTCTCCGCCTCACCCCACCCCACCCCACCCCGTGTGTGGTCCTGACCCGCGGCCGAGCAGGCCAGGCCTGACGGCGGCGCCCTCTGCCCCCCAGTCTGCCGGCCAAGCTCATCAACGGCGGCATCGCCGGGCTGATTGGGGTCACCTGCGTGTTCCCCATCGACCTGGCCAAGACGAGGCTGCAGAACCAGCAGAATGGCCAGCGCCTGTACACCAGCATGTGAGCAGGCCCGGTGGGCGCGGGGGCTGGAGGGTTGTGGGGGGCAGGCTGCGGCTCAACTCCAGTCCCGCGCCTGTGCCCCCGCCCTGATAGACCAGAGGGGAAGCTGAGGCCAGGGCCGGCCTGGGAAGCGCAGGTCTGGGCTAGGGCCGGAGCCGCCGCCAGCCCCGGCCCCTCCCCCTCTTGGCTGCAGGTCCGACTGCCTCATCAAGACCATCCGCTCCGAGGGCTACTTCGGCATGTACCGCGGTGAGGCTGGGGACGGGGACGGGGACGGGGGGGCCTCCTGCAGCCTCAGAGGCCGCTGGCAGAGCCGGGCAGGTTGGCCTGCCGGTGCCTGCTGTGGCCCGTCAGACCTGGATGCCGGGTGGATGGCACAGGCCGGGCTCTCCAGGGCGGGGTGGTTCCCAGCAGCCCTCCTGGAGCTCGGCCCCTCCCCCCGCCTGCTGCGGAGGCCGGGCGTGGCAGGACAAGTGTCTTTGCTGTGCGGTGGCAGTCTTCCCCCTGCTTCTGGGGCAGGTGGGACTCCCATCTGTGCTGGGAGACCGGAGGGGAGGGGTGGGGCACAACCGCAAAGCCGCTTAGCAGGCAGTCCCCAAGCCTGGCTTTGCCCAGACTTGGTGCGGAGGGACCCACCACCGCCTCCCTCTGCTCTTGCTCGCCCAGGGCCGGGGTCCTCCAGGGAAGGGGTTCCTCAGGGAGGCCAGAATGGGTCCATCACGCAGGGAGGGTGAGGGGAGTGCCCAGAGGAGGCACTGCCCCTGCCCGGTCCTGCCCCGCCCGGCACCAGTGTGGGTGAGAGGGCAGGAGGGGAGCCAAGGAGTGACTGGGGTGGGGCTCTGCCAGCTGGAGGCTTGTGCTGGCTGAGAGCCTCCCCAGCCCGCATCACTGACCTGCCTGTGCTCCCCCCGCCCCGTGCTCCCCCACCCCCCATGCCCCATAGGAGCCGCTGTGAACCTGACCCTCGTCACCCCTGAGAAGGCCATCAAGCTGGCTGCTAACGACTTCTTTCGATATCAGCTCTCCAAGGACGGGTGAGGGGCTGTGAGCCAAAGTCGTGCAGGGGAGGGGTCCGTGCCTCCGGACAGAAGATAACCACAAAGGACAGCTGTCTGCCCCTCACCTCCTCCCTCTCCTCACCGCCTCCTGCACCGGGAAGGAAGCAGATGCCGAGTCCAGTGGTGCCTTGGCCCCAGGGGTCCCGGCCCCCAGGGTGGGATTGGGGGGACACTGACCACCTTTCCCGTCACCTGAGGGTGGGGCCGAGAGGGCAGCCCCTTGGGTGCTTGCGAACCCCAGCTTCTGCGCTGCTCTTTGTGGTCCTTCCACCTTTCCCAGGCCCTGCTTCAGGGCCATCTGTCTGATGGGCTCGGTGCCCGTTGCTGGCAGGCCTGAAGGGGTATTTGCGGCTGGCGGGTGCCATACCCCTCCAGGGCCGCACCACCTCCCCGTTCCCAGTCTCCTTCATGCCCAGGGCAGCAGGCAACCCCCCGGGGCGGTGGAGGCATCTGGGTCTGCCACCGCATCACGGCCCTCACCCCTTCTCCATAGGCAGAAGCTGACCCTGGTGAAGGAGATGCTGGCGGGCTGTGGGGCTGGCACCTGCCAGGTGATCGTGACCACCCCCATGGAGATGCTGAAGATCCAGCTTCAGGACGCAGGCCGCATTGGTGAGGGTGTGGGGGGTACCGAGAGCTGGGGTGGGGGCGACAGCTGGAGCCGCATCCCCTGCCCCAGTGGGAGAGCCAGCAGGCCCATCCCTTCTCTCCCCAGCTGCCCAGAAGAAGATACTGGATGCCCAGGCCCAGCTGTCGGCCCAAGGGGGCTCCCAGCCCTCCGTGGAGGCTCCGGCCACCCCCCGGCCCACGGCTACTCAGCTGACCCGGGACCTGCTTCGGACCCAGGGCATTGCCGGCCTCTACAAGGGCCTGGGGGCCACACTGCTCAGGTGGGAGGGACGGTAAGGGCGGGAGGAGGGAGGCCTGCCCACCATATGCCTCTAGGTCATCAGCGTCCCTCCCTCCCCACACAGGGACGTCCCCTTCTCCATTGTCTACTTCCCCCTCTTTGCCAACCTGAACCAGCTGGGCCGTCCCGCATCGGGGGAGAAGGCTCCTTTCTATGTGTCCTTTCTGGCTGGCTGTGTGGCTGGGAGTGCAGCTGCTGTGGCCGTCAACCCCTGTGATGGTCAGTGCCTGGGGCTGGGGCAGGGGCAGGGGTGGAGGCAGGCTGGGCCCCACACTGACCCGCATACCCCTGCAGTGGTGAAGACCAGGCTCCAGTCACTGCAGCGCGGTGTCAATGAGGACACCTACACGGGCTTCCTGGACTGTGCCAGGTGGGATGGCCCCGGCGCGGGGGGCCGGGGGTTGGTGGGGTGCGCAGCGGCCCTGACTACCCTCCTGGGGCTTCCTGGACTGTACCTGGTGGGATGGCCCCGGGGCCAGGGGTGGGCGGGCAGCAGCCCTGACCACCCTCCCCCTGCAGGAAGATCCTGAGGCACGAGGGCCCCACGGCCTTCCTAAAGGGCGCCTACTGCCGCGCCCTGGTCATCGCCCCACTGTTTGGTATCGCTCAAGTGGTCTACTTCTTGGGCATCGCAGAGACGCTGCTGGAGCTGCCGCAGCGACCCCAGCACTGAGCACAGCGGCCAGCCGCTCCCTCCAGCCGAGTGGGACCAGAGTGGGGCCGGAGCCAGTCCTGCCCAGGGCCTGCCCAGGACTGAGCAAGAGACAGTCTCTCCCCAGCCTTCTCACGTGGACGGGGGGAAGCAGAGGAAGGGGTCCACATGGTGCACACAGCGGCCCCCGCAGGGTCCTGCCTGCACGACCACTGGGAGCAATGTCTTATTTATGTAGAAAATGCAGAAATCTTTACATTCCTGGAGCCAGCCCCTGCCACAGCTCCGCCCCGGCCTGAACACCCCCAGGGACAGAGCTGGTCTCTGGGCTGGGGCGCCCAGGCCTGGGACCCTACAAGCGGGACCCTACCCTCCAGTCTACCAGCTCTTGTCCCCGAGGCTTGGCCCCTAGTCTGCGAAGGGGACCCCGCACAAACCTATTTATTAACTTGCTGAGCACAAGTGCTCTGTCCATCCCTCTGTCCATCCGTCCAGCCTCCCCCTGCTGCTGTCCTTCTCCACTTGGCCAGGACTCCATTTTGCCCCCCCAGCCAGCCTTGCAGGAGGATTGGGGTTCCTGCCCCCCATATTGAGCCAGGAGTCCCAGGCAGGGGTCACACTGAGTTCTGACTCCCAGGGCAAGCCCCCCCACTCCACTGTGGGACCCAGCACCCCTCCTGGTGGGCTTCTCTCCCCCGACCCCAGGCTGGGGGCATGTAGCATGTGAGGTCTGTGTGCATGTGCAAATGTTCTGGGGAGCAGTTTGTGTCCTCCAGCCTTCCACTGGCCTGGCCCCTCAGAGATGGGGCTGGGGGCAGGAGTGGGTGGCTGCGGGCTTTACCCACATGGCCAGGCAATGTGTGTGTGTTTGTGCTGTGTGCGCCCTGGGCTCCTTTCTGACCCCATTCAGGAATTTATTTTCCCAGCGTGGTTCTTGCTGCACCTCAGCAAACCCCTCTTCTGAGACCCCCCCCCCCCACCCTCCGGCGCCAGGATTGGCCAGTGGGGAGGGCAGACATGAGGACCAGTATGGAGCCTGGGGGTACCTGCTCTCTTTCCAGGGATAGCACCTGCTCCCTCAGCTCTCTGGGGGCTCGCCCTACTCCCGGGGGCTCGCCCTACTCCCCGGGCCTCTGCTAAGGCCGCTGAATACACTCCGTAAGCTCTGCCTTCCCGGACTGCCCCCTCCGTTGGTGTCGTGAATCAGAGCGGCCGCCCCGCCCCAGGCCACGTGATTGTGTCGGTATTGATCTGATGTGCTGGTGCTGTGTACCCCCACCCGGGCCCCCGTCCTCGGAGGCCCCTTCCCGGTGACACTACCTGGGGCTCAGGCCTGGGCCCCCCAGTTCACGGTTCCTGGGAGCTGCCCTCTCCCGCCACATCTGTACCTTGGAAGCTGCTGCTGCTTACAGAATTATATTTTTTCTTTTGAAGAGTTTTAAGAAGTTGTAACTTTTTGTGTCTTGTCCTGTGAGAAGATAAATAAATATTCTAAGTAGATAGCTCGTCTCTGGAATCTGTTGGGGGGAGGGGCGGAGGGGGAGGGCAGCCTCTTTCGGAGCCGGCTCCCCTGTCGCTGCAGACCGACCTCCGTCCACCCTCCCGCTGGCCGGCACGGGGCCCAGGAGGGGGCCCGGGCTGGGGGCCTGCAGACTGGGGGGGAGGGGCGGGAAGGGCTGTCCCCTCTCTTCCCTGACTGCAAGCCGCCCTTGGGATCCAAAGGGGAGCCTGTGCGTGGGGGCCCCACAGTTCCCCGCCAGCCGGGGGCGCCGGGATGGCCGAAGGGGGCGGTGCCGGTGGTGATGTGGCCCCGCCTCCTGGGCTTGCGGCGCCGAGAACAGGGCATTGTGGGAAACTCCCAGTCCCCGCCGCCGCCGCCACAGCCGCCGCCCGCCCTGGTCCCGTGGAGAGCGCGCAGCGCGGAGGTGGGAGCGCCGGGAGCAGCAGCGTAAGACAGCGGGGGCTCCAGGGCCTGGGGCCGGGGGTGTGACGGGGCGGCCCCGCGGGGCGAGTGGGCGGCTCCCGCCTTGAAGGTCACTGGGAGCGCACGCTGGGCCCCCGGCTCTCTCCAGCCCAGCGGCTCCTGGGAAGGGGAGGGGGCACTGGCTGACGTCAGTGTGAACCAAAAATAACAGGGGCTTGGAGTGGGGGCGGGCAGGAGACCACCTGCCCTTTACAAACTTGACCCCCAGCAGCCGGGTGCCCATCCAGAGCAGCAGGGATTGAGGGGCTGCCGGGGCCCGTGAGAAATGGGGCAGCAGCTGGGCCTGGGCCGCTCACTGGGACACCTCCGTTATGCTGTGACCTACAGGTGACCTTCAGGTGTGGTTAGTAATCCTGGCCTGGGTGGAAAACCTGGGCCGCTGCTTCCCACATGTGCTCCCTTTCCTTGGTGGGGTGAGGGGTACTAATCCTCTCGGAGGAGACACAGACAGGGGGTGTCTAGGTCTTTAGAGAGAGACAGCTCGGGCCCAGCCCGACTCAGACATAGAGGATCTGGGCCAGGCTTTTCCTACAGTCCGGAACCCCCACCTCCTTCCCTGGCCCGGGTTTGAGGATGCTGAGGCCGACGGACATGGCGTATGTCCACACCAGCCTCACACCAGGGGACCCCCCACACACACACCGCTCTTGCCCAGAAGCGGGCACAGCCCCAGACTCAGAAAGGACTCCCTGCCCTTGAACTGGAGCAGGGAAAGCTGGTCTTGGGGGTGGGTACCAGGAGCTGGAGAGGGGCAGATGGCTTGCCTGGAGGCACAGGGCCTGGCTTCTCCAGCCTCCCGGAAACACTTGAGATGTGCTGTACCCCAGTTCTGGTAGCCTGGGGCCTATTCCCACACCCCTGACACCACAGAGCCCAGACTCTGGGTTCCTGCCCTACCCCCCCTCCACAGGGACCCAGTCCTTCCAAGCAGGTACACTGTTGGTTCTGCCCAGGCACGCCATAGCTGCCACGCCCTCAGTTGACCGCAGAGCCTCCTCTCACTGCCCCGTCCAGGGCAGATGGAAATAGCACAGGCATGACCAGGACCATTGTGCGGATGGCTAGTCTCATGCCGCACCCCCAGCCGGTTCAGGGCCCACAGGATCTGCCTGTGTGGTTCGAGGGGCTTCTCAGGGAGTGGTGGCGGACTGCTGGAGATCAAGCCCTGGGAGCACATGCTGAGCGGGGTCTTCTGGGGTGGAGGGTGGTCCAGAGGGCCTTTACGGGGACAGGATCGTAGGGAGCTAAGCAGGTGGGCTGAGTCTCTTGCCATGGCCTCATTGTGTCTCTCCCCAGGCCTAGATAATGCCCAGTGGTGAGCTGTCCTGAGCCACTGAGTTCCAGCTGCCTGTCTGTCCACGCACACTCCACGTAGCCTGCCAGCACCGCCCAGCATGGAGTCCAGGGGAAAGGCGACCAGCAGCCCCAAGCCCGACACCAAGGCTCCACAGGCCGCTGCTGAGGCCAGAGCCCCACCAGCTGCAGATGGAAAGGCCCCTTCAGCTAAGCCTGGGAAGAAGGAGGCCCAAGCAGAGAAGCAGGAGCCTCCCGCAGCCCCCACACCACCAGCGGCCAAGAAGACCCCGGCCAAAGCAGACCCTACCCTTCTCAATAACCACAGTAACCTGAAGCCAGCCCCTGCAGCCCCCAGCAGCCCTGATGCCACCACGGAGCCCAAGGGCCCTGGGGATGGGGCTGAGGAGGGTGAAGCCCCCAGCGGGGCCCCAGGGGGCCGAGGCCCTTGCCCCTTTGAGAACTTGACCCCCCTGCTCGTGGCTGGGGGTGTGGCTGTGGCCGCCGTAGCCCTAATTCTTGGTGTGGCCTTCCTGGCCCGGAAAAAATGATGGCTAGTGCCCAGGTGGGGGCACAGCCACTTCCTGTACAGATCTCAGGAGCCTAGTGCATGCCGAGCTCCCCCATAGTTATCCACACATCCGTACATGCGCACCATATAGACACATATACCCCCACACACGCAGAGGGACAGACAGACAGGCCCCCAGCCGTGGAAACCCAGCCCGCCCGCTGGCCCCCAGCACTTCCCCCTCCCAGGCTCTGGGGTTTACCGTGCAGCACAGGAGGAGCCATAGCACGGGGAAGAGGTCTTTGCTGTGGCCAGGGTACTGGGGGGCAGGAGGAAGAGAGGACCTTGAGTATGGCCCGCCCGCCTGCGTGTGCCAGCCCGTTCCCAGCGGCCCCAGGGGTCCCATGCGCTTCCTGGCAGACAGGGCTGGGTAGGGGTCCGGGATGGGCTCTGACAAGGGCCCAGCCCATGTGGGGACATTAAAGGGTATGGCTGTTTCACTCCCCATTTCTGCTCTTTGTTTGTAGCTGGGCAGGGTTGGGGGGTCCATGTGGGTAGGGCCGGGGCAGTGGGGTGACCCGAACCAAGCCTTCACAGTGGCAGAACTTCTGTGCCACCTCTGTCCACCACCTGCACCCTGGCTGGGTGGACAGACAGCGCAAAGGCCGGTCTGGGGGTGTTCCCACCATTCACCTTCTAGCTTGTGCCCCAGGGGAGCGGCCGAGGCTGGGACCACAGCACTTCCTGCCCTGGGGTATCCCAGAGCCTGGCAGGGAGGCCGGGGATGGGGGCGGTGGCCAAGGAGGACCTGCCCAGCAGCTGCGCTTGTCCTGCCCCCTGTAGACCGCCCCTCCCACCTCACCCAGCGCCCTTCGATTCTAACAAGCGTATAAATGCAATAACACAGAAAGGAGCTGCTTGGCGGACCTGCGTCCACTGCACTGCTGTGGAGGGAGGGAGGGAGACTGCTGTGCAGCCCCTCCTCAGCACGGAGCCAGCTTGGCGCGCGGCACAGTGGCCGTGGGCACTGTGGGCACTGACACGTCCTTACCTGGCCAGCCCACCCCTAGAACCCTGGGCCTGAGTGGAGGCTGAATCTGAAATAAACCGTCTTGTCTAATGGCTGGGCTGGCGTCCTCACCTCCCTGGGACGGAGAAAGGCAAGGGCTTCCTGGTGGGGTGTGGGAGGTGGTCTCATAGCCACAGCACCAGGCTTTCCAGGGAGGAATAGGGAGCTCCAGGTGCCACCGTCCACCGCCCCCTCTCCAGCCACCCCCATGCCTTTGAACCCAGACCCTGCCCCGTCCCAGACCGCCACAGCCAGGCCTTCCTGCCCGCCTGGCCCTAGATGGACTCCTACCCCCAGGCCTGGGCTGCCCACTGCAGTGCACGGGGCAGGGCTGGGACTGGAGCAGGAAGGGCATGGTTGTGGGGGGCCTTGCTCTGGCATCTGAGGCCAGGGCGTGTCTTTCTCCATCGCTGTCATTGGTGAGCTCCCCATCTGTGCGGGGCACAGAGGAGACTGGGGAGATGGGCTTTCCTCTTGCCGCCCCATAGCCCACAGCTCCCTGAGCCCGCTCGGACCAGGTGACCGACTGGTCTGCCTGTGCCCCCAGCCGTGCGCAAGGCTGTAGGGGCAGGGTCTGGGGAAGCAAGGCCCTGCTGGGCCCAGAAGCGCTCCTGTGGGCTCTGTCACTCTGGCCCCTCCTGTCCCCAGCCTCTTGCAGCTCACGTGTTGGGGGCACGCCCTTCCCTTCTTTTCCTGGTACCCACCCTCCCAGAGGGGCACACCCGCTCCCTGTACCCGCATATCAGGCCCAGGCAAGTCCGGAGAAACTTCTGGGAGTGAGAAGGTCCAAAACGGGCTTGGCGGCCTTGTCCAGACACGTGCCTCCTCCGAGTCCTGGGACCTCCTCCTGACCCCCACACCGCTGGCTGCTCCAGTCCCTGAGCTACCGGGCCAGAGCCGGCCACACAAGGTGGGCTGCTGCGGAGCAGGGCAGACCTGGCCCAAGGGTCCAGCCTCCAGCCCCTTTGCCCCGCGGGTGCCGGGGCTGCTGCGGTGCTCAGCAGACCACCCACCCCGCTCGGCTGGGCAGTCCCCTCTCCCACAAACCCCTGATATTTTAGGGAATTTTTGCAGCCGGTAGAGTTGACTGTGAGGACGAGCTCTGTCATCTTCAACTGGAAGCCCAGAGCCTGGCCCTCGACGTGGTCATTCCACTGGAGGTCGCCCCCCCCCCCCCGCCCCCGCCCCGCCTTGTTCGCCAGCTCACAGGACGCCGAGCTTCTTTCCAAATAGGGCAGCGATGAAAATCCTTGTAAGGGCCCTTGTGCCCGGCGCCTTTAGGGTGGGCTGTGCGTGTGGTGCAAACATATCTTTTTTTGTTTGTTTGTTTCTGTTTTATTGTTTTTTGTTTTATTGCGATAAAATACACAGAACACAAAATTTACCACCTTAGCCACATCGAGTGCGTGGCTCAGGCACGAAGCACATTCCTGTTGTGCAGCCATCCCCACCAACCATGTCCAGGACTTTCCAACTTCTCAAATGGAAACCGTCCCCGAGACACTGACCCCCATCCCTCCCTCGGCCCCGGCGCCCACCGTCCACTCTCTGTCCCTGCGAATCTGGAGGCTCTAGGGACCCCACCTGGGTGGGATCCTGCAGTGTTTGTCCCTGTGTCCGGCCTGTTTCACTCCGCATCACGTCCCCCAGGCCCACGCATGCTACGGCAGGCGTCCAAACGCTCTTCCTTCCCGAGGCTGCTTTATGTTCCGTCGATGGATAGACCACATTTTGTTCGCCTGCTTGTCCGTCGACAGACACTTCGCTGCTCCCCCTTCCCACTGTGGTGAGTTGATGCTGCTGCGGACGGGGACGTGCTTGGGGACGTGCTCCTCTCTCTCGAGACCCTGCTGCCCCTCCTCTGGGCCGCGCAGGGGCTGCGTCTCACACAGCGGCGAGGGCCCCGCTCCCCCCACCCCGGGTAGGGGGGAAACATGCAGACTGTGCGAGTCCGACCACCTCTTCTGGTTGTTTCTCTCTGCACGGCTCTAATGTACTTCTTTTCACAAAGTTCCTGGCTATTTGGGCCTTGTCTTTCGCGACTCTTCTTCTTGATGCCATTTGTCCGTTCTTCTGCTGGACGGAGCGCCTTCTTCTCATTTATTTGGAGGAATTCTCCACTTGTTGTGCCTACCAAGCCTTCGCCACACTGCAGACATCTTTACCCAGTGGCTGGCTTCCCTTTTGCTCTGTTTCCTGAGCGCAGAAGTTCTAAAGTCTGAGGTCGTCACATGGACTCCCGTGCCCCTTACCATGTGCGCTCTGGAAATCGCGGTCGGAAGGAAGGAGCTCTTCCTCCTTCCAGGCTAATGTTCTTGGCATTTGCACATGTTTAGTACATGTCATGTCTCAGCCTATCTGTGGACCTTAGGTTTTGTGTGTGAATAAGCTGGAGATCCAAAGTTACTTCTTCTCCATCAGCTGGTCCAAGGGAGCCCAGGACGTGCACAGTTCCTGCTGGCCTGCTGTGGCCTCCACCTCTCACTTCCCAGCACAACCAGGCCTGTGCAGAGCCTGGGGCCGGCTAACACCAGCCACCTGTCAGGGTAGATTTAGGGTAGCACTTGGTGATGATCTCCTGTTTCCTTTTTTTTTTTTTTTAAGATTTTTTTTTTTTATTTGACAGACAGAGATCACAAGTGGGGGGGGGGGCGGGAAGCAGGCTCCCCTCTGAGCAGAGAGCCTGATGCGGGGCTGGATCCCAGGACCCCGGGATCACGACATGAGCTGAAGGCAGAGGCTTTAACCCACTGAGCCACCCAGGCGCCCCTGTTTCTTTATTCCTGATTTCCCATGCACACTCAGCTCCTGGAATCCCCTCTTTGGGGACGTGAGACTAGCTTAACCGTGTCTCGGGGGTCCATGTGGGGTTTGGATGCTTCCATCCCACTGTGCTCCTACACTTGAGTAGGGACCTTTCCAAAATAAGCAAACTCTTAGAGATGTCCAAGGCTGGTTTTTGTGGTTTTTGTTTTTGTTTTTGAGAAAGAGAGACAAAGATACTGACATCAGGAAGGAGATGAGTGAGCAGGAGGGGGGAGGAGAGGGGAGAGGGGACGAGGGGGAGAAGCAGGCTCCCCTCTGAGCAGGGAGCCAGATGCAGCTCTCAGTCCCAGGACGCTGAGACTGTAACCTGAGCTGAAGGGAGAGGCTTAACCCACTGAGCCACCCAGGTGCCCCTAAAAAAATCTCTTTTAAAAAGTAGGTACTATAGAGTGTCTGGGAGCCCTGCGTCGGGCTTCCTGCTCAGGGAGGCCTGCTTCTCCCTCTCTCGCTATCTCTGTCATAAATTAACAAAATCTCAAACAAACGAAAAAAAAAGTACGTACTATAAATACAAATCAAATTTTCAAGGCCATCAGGAAAACTCAGGTGGGAGCATCGTGTCCTGGGACGGAGGTGTCCACCGGCTGGGCACCGTCAGAGGGACACCCTGCCCCCACCCCTCACCCGGGCAGCACAGGGACTCCCCAAAGACCTGGGCTCTGGGCCGTGGTACCAGGACTTGATGTCTTCCTGTTGCCAGGCTGTGCCACGTTGCACCACATGTGGGCTTCAGAGGGCACGGGTGGTCAGGGTTATAAGGACGCAGAAGAGGTATGTGGGGGGGCTCCACTTCGTTTTTCTATCTAGCACCCCTTCCTTCCCCGGAGTGTACAGTCCCTCTCTGGGGAGTCCCATCCTGGAACGCATTCTTGGCGTGACCAGGGAGTGGAGCTGGCCGCTGTCTCCAGACCCTGCCCTCCCCCATAGAGAGGGGCCTGGGGCTAAGTGGGGTCCTCTGGAACCTCTCTTCCATCACGGAGGCAGAGTGACCGATACCCCCCCGAAGGCACAGGTGGCAGAGAACTTGGCTCCGGGGACTGACCCCAGCTGCTGCAGGCCAGTCCTGACTCCTGGATCTTCAGTGCCCACCCCCAGCTCCCTGGCTCGGGGCCTCCCTGACCTCACCCCTAGTCCCTGGGCCAGACAGGCAGAGGCTCCCTGTGTTCCAGTGGCTGTTTCTGGTGTGCCTGGACATCTTGGCCCAGTGTCTCTGGCGCAGGGAGGTCTGGTGAGGCTGTCGGAGGGTTGGTGAGCAGTGTCCACCTGCCAGCCTCAGCTCACGGTCAACTGTCGGGGTAGGACAGCGGCTTGGCCCCTGCGGTCCTGCGGAGGGTGCTGCGGTGACATTGCTGGGAACCATCCCTGGCCAGCGGGAAGAAAGGCTGAGTGTGGGTGGCCGTTGCCCCCAACCCAGCACAGTGGTACCTGGAGGTGTGTTTGAGAGGAACCCCATTCAGACACTCCTGTGGACCCTCCCACCTATGCATGGAGCCCTGTCCTAATGTCCTGGGCAGGATGCAGCCAGCCTCCCTGCCGTATCACCCCACTCCAGGCCACCAAACTGCCTGCCCACTTGGCTGACATCTTTGGGCCACACTTCGCTCTACGCGATGAAGGTGAAGGGACCCCAGTGCTCCCCGCCCACTGCCCTGGCTTCTGCAGCCCCATGCCCTTAGCGGAGGCCACCCTCTGCTGTCTGGTTCAGGGTCTTCTTCATTAGTGCTTGGGCTCTAAGTCTCCAGATCCCACCCCCGGCCCCAGCAAAAGTGCCCAAAGCCTGAGCACTGCTGGAAAGAGGGATGCAGCTGGGCCCAGGACACGGGTCCCCTGACCAGCAGTCTGGCTGGCAGGGCTGCCCATGACACACCAGCCCTGAGAAAGAGCCCTGTCCCAAGTCTCCTGTCTGAGGTCCACCCAGCAGTCAGGCTCACCTAATGCGGGGGGGGGGGCACTCAGGGCAGCCCTGTGAGCTTAGGGGGGTTTCTCAGAAAGGGAGCACAGGGCAAATGGTGCCTCTGGTGCCCAGGGGCTTTGAAGGAGAGTTAGGAGTTCGCCAGACAAAGAGGAGCTCCAGCATTTCAGAGGGAGGAGCAAGTGGGAAGGCTCCCGGGGGGACTGGCTCAGGCACACTCTGGAAAGGAAGGCAGCAAGAGAGCCAGGGGTCCTGAGACTCTGGCAGTGCCTACTGGAAAGGCCCCCGGGAACGCCCCCCAACCATCCTTGTTCCATCTGGAGCAATGTACAGAGACAGGAATGAGACCGTGAACCCGACTGGTGTTTGAGAACATGTCATGGGACACCCTGCACCTCATGTTTCAGGGTCCCCGAGCAAAACCAAAACCCCGGGTTCAAGGGCATCACTCCACAGCAGCAGAGCCCTGGGGGCCCCAGCCCCCCTCCCTGGCCCTTCCCTTCCTCTCCTGGGCAGTCACTATTGGCTGATGCCCTAGGACTCCATGCCCACGAGCCCCACACCTCAGGGCCTCAGCTGTGACACTGGCGAGGCCCTGGGGAGGGCCTGGGGATGGACGAAGGGGTACTGGAGGGGGAGGCCCATTCCCCCCAGGCCTGGATCGTTCTCAGGAGACAGCCATCCGGACGTGGGCCAGGGTGCAGAGCCGTCCCTGAGGCTCTCCTGGGCTCTGCCCTGGGAGGGAGAGCTAACTGCCCACTGATCCGCCTGCGGGAATCCCAATCCTGCCCAAGGCTGGGCTGCAGGAGCATCCCCCTCCTCGCCTGCCAGGGCTGACGGGGCAGAAGGGGCAAGGGGCCAACTCAATGGAATGGGAACTCACTCAGGCAGTGGAGAGACAAGCCAGCAGGATGGTGTGGGTAAAGAGGGCAACAGACACAGCCTCATGTCGGGGGCAGCCCTGCTAAGGGCTAACCCTAGTCACCATGACAGGGCCTCTGGCTCCCTCTCGTCCAGTCCTCATTGCCCACAGGGCCACACAGAGAGGCAGGTTGCTGCCAGACCTGGACCAAGACCCCATATATCACACCTGCCCCGTGGAACCTGCCCACCCCAACTCCAGATGCCACGAGCTACCTGGACCCTCATAGCCCTGCATGTGCTGGGAGCCACTGACCCAGGCAAACGTGCTGCCCTGGACTGGGGTTGGGGTGATACACACACACAGGACATGGGCTCGGCCATCAGCCTGCTCAGGCAGGTGGGTCCATCCTGCAAGCGTTCTGCAAGGACTTAGGTGTACAGTGGAGCGCACACTGCCTCTGAGCACAAGAGTGCACTTGTGCACGTGTGCTCCCACTTGCACGCATCAGCCTCGTAGTACAGGGCCACAGCCCAGCTACCGCGTCTGTTCTCTTAGTGGCAGAAGGGAGCGGCCTGGCCTAATGAAGTTCGGTGATGCAAGAGGAGGTGGGTGTCAGGGCGGCCCGGGGGGTGGTGTGGTGGGGGCTGGGCCTGCAGGATGGTCCCATGGCCCCCGCTGCAGCCTGGCATCTCCAGCCCCTGGATCCCACGAATGCCCACGTGGGGAGCCCTCCTAAACCCAGAAAGCTCTTTCTGTGGCTAGGCCTAGCCTATGACCTCAGGCTTGTGGGTCTCCATCCAAAGTCCTCCACTCACCCACACAGCTCCTGTCCCCTGTCCTGAGGCCCTACCAATGCTGGGAGCCCCAAGCTTCTACTTCACTCATAATAGGAGGGTCCTGCTGAGGTTGGGGGTTGCTGGTAGTCAGGAGCTGTGGGAGCGTGCGGCCTCACCAGGTAGAGGACAGAGCCGGTGGTCATGGAGGTAGGAGTGCCCAGGAGAGTAGAGGTCCTTGGCCTGGCCTCGGCCACTTTGGCATTTTTTACCCACGACAAAGGTTTCTTTAGTCAGAACTGAGGCTGGCTAGACCTCGAGGAAACCCTATTTCCTGAAGCAGGGGGTCCTGGAAGGTGGCCTGTGGGGGCCAAGGGGTGGGTCTGTTTCTCTTTACCACCAGCCTGTGCCCAAGGCCCTCTACCGGCCTCCCTTCTCCCAGGCCCAGGCCTTAGAGAGCACCTAACAATCTGCAGCTGACCCGTGTGTCTCCCAGTCAGTGGAAGCAGTGGAAGCAGTGCTCGAGATGCAGCTCTGCCCAACGGCACCCTGATTTCCTCACCAGACTCAGCACCTAGAACTATCTCAGGAAGGGACACCCATCCTCTTCCAGGGACTCAGCTGAACCCCAGCGACCCTGGATGCCTCTGTCTCCCCACAACCATCCTGGAGGCAGAACCCATCCCTCCTGCCCCCGCAGACACCTGCAGACCCCCCTGATCTCTAGACTCCCACCCCTGCCCACACAAGCACCCACCGCCGCAGCCCCACCCTCTCTGCCCCAGGGGAGTGGCCGGCCTCCTTAAACTCTTGGCCTCCCATTTTCCCGACTGAGCTGGCCCCCTCCCACCTCCTCTCCCCGCTGGCCGGCCCACTCCACTACTGTCACCTGTGAACCCATGCTCGAAGCCCCCACCTGCAGGACGTGAGCCCCCTTGGGAGGGCGCTTTGCCCCGCGCATTCCATGCTGTGTCTCCAGACTCTCGGTGATCCAGGGTAAAGTGCCCATATCCACGAGGCAGGGACCATCATCCACGGGACGGGCACCCTCGTTCACGGGCAGGGGTCCTCTCTCCTGGTTCACGCTCCTGTCCCAAGGGACGACGAAAAGGGAAAGGCACCGTGTTCCTGACTGCGACCAGGGGCCGGGCCAGGGGTCTGCTCAAGGCTGCTGAGGCGTCGGGCCGGGAAAGTCGGCCCACGCTGTCTCCCGCCGCCTTGGGGCCAAGCTCTGAGCCCCGCCAGCACGACCCCCAGCCTCTCCCCCCGCCCCGGCGGCCCCGTCCCGCTCCCCGCACCTACCTGCTGCCCTCCCGACACCGCCCCCCCAGCCCCCACGCCCCCGGCGCCCCGCCCCCTAGCCCGCCTGGCACCGCCAGTCCTGGAACCAAGTTAGGGGGTGGCTCCGAGCAAGAGGAGACATGGCGCATGCGCCCGGCGCTGCCCGCGGCCCCACCTCCAGGCGCCGTAGCACGTGACCGGCGTTTCCCGGCACCCCTCCCCCCGCGCGCGCACGCGCACGCGCACGCGCAAGCCGCGCCGGCTCTGGCAGATGCCATGGCGTCCGAGCGACTCCCGAGCCGGCCCGCCTGCCTCCTCGTGGCCAGCGGCGCCGCGGAGGGTGAGGCTCGCGAGCGTGTTGCGTGGCGGCGCGGCCGGCAGGCCCGCCGACCCCGAGCGGTTCGCCTTTGCGGCGCTTCCGCCTTGGAAGGGGAGCGGCGCCGGCGTCCCTGGCCTCCTGCGTGGGGATCCGGGGCGCGGCGCTCCTGTGGGAGGAGAACGGGTGCCGCCTCGCGGCGGAGGGTGCTGGCCCTTGGGGGCCTCCGTGCGTCACGCGCCGGGGCTTGCCGTCCTGGACGCGCCGGCCGGGGTGTGGTGGGGGGCGGTGGGCTGTCCGAGGAGCTGCGGGGCTGGCCTGTGTTCCGGCGCGCCTGGGGTTGGGCAGCGGGCCGGTGGGACCGTGGGCCTTTCCGCGGGGGTGGCCGTGAGCCTGCGGCCGGGGCGTGAGGGGTTGGGGGAGGAGCTGTCCCGGGGGCGGAGAACCCCTCCGTCCTGCCGTGTGAGGTACCAGGGCGCCGGCGTGCGGCTCCCGCAGGGCACACGGCCGGTGCCGGGGTCCGCCTGACTGACCAGCCGGAAGGCGCCCGATTGAGCGCTTCCCAGGCCCGCGCCTGCGCTTTCTTCGTCAGATGGAAGCAGCGAGCCCAAGCTCGCGTGGCGGAGAGCCCAGGGTCGGGACCCGGGGTCTGGCTCCGGAGCCTTCCCGGACTCGAGCTGCCCAAGTGGGCAAGGTTGGGAGAATTGCAGGTGGAAGCGTCGCCGTGCCCAGCGCGTGGGTGGGAGGAGCCGTCAGGAGTGGGGCTCTGTCCTGGAGAGGCAGGTGGGGGAGACCACCAAGGTGTGGGGTAGGGTGAGGAGGGGTTGACTGGCGTGGCTGTGCCATGGGGAGGGGACACAGCTCTGAAAAGGCCACTAGGGCACTGAGGACAGGAGGGGGCCCTGCAGAGACCCCGGAGGAGGGGTGAAGCCGGGTTCAAGGAACTGAGGGCAGAATTAGGCAGAGTCCGCGGATGGTTGGTGGGTGCCTGTGCTCCGCCATAACACCCAGCGATGCGCAGGGCTGGGCAGAGGGCAAGCTGAGGTTTAGGGATTCGGTCCAGGATGGACATAAAGGTGCCCGTTTGGAAGCAGACGTCCCTGGTGGGGCCACAGCCCCCGGCAGCGGGGAATGTTTTGGACTGGAAGTGGGCAGAAGAGGGCTGCGAGCTGCACTGGGCGTTGTGGGCAGGGTCCAGGAGCTCTGTGAGCAGCGGCCAAGTGTCCTAAAGTGAGGACAGGGGCGAGGCCAGCCCATGGGGGTCGGGATGCTCCCGTGTTCCTGCCGACACTGGGCCGCAGCCCTGCATCTGAGGACACACGTCTCGCCCTCTGTTACCTCTCCCGGCTGAATGCCGGGGGTGGGGACCGGCTGGGTCGCTGGTGGTTCCGTGACTGCACCTGGGGACCTTGCATTTGAGTCTGCCTTCTGGAGAGGCTTTTCGTGGCCAGGCTGGGCAGAGAGCCCATCCTGCAGGGGCTGTGGGCTGGGGCTGCTGCCCCAGCATGGTGAGGTGGGGGACCAGGAGACCCTGAGGGTGTCTGGAGCAGGGACTGTCATGCCCCTCTTCCTGCCCACAGGGTCCAGTAGTGCCCGATTTAGAGCCGTGTTGACTTTGCAGGTGTGTCTGCCCAGTCCTTCCTTCACTGCTTCACGCTGGCCAGCGCCGCCTTCAACCTACAGGTGGCCACCCCTGGGGTGAGTCCAGCCAGACCCATGGGGCCCGTACCTTTTGGGGGGGTGAGTCTGGGAAGAGTGCTGTCGCTCTCAGGGAGAAGCAGGGAGCCTGAGGTTGGTGTGACTCCAAGGGAGGTGGTAGGGCTGAGGGTTAGGGCCCTGTTGAGGTGATCCAGCTCTGGTTCCTGTTTCCTGGGCTCTGGCCCTACCTTTGGCAAGGGAGACCTTTCGTCGATGGTCAGCCCCTGCGTGTAAGAGTGAGGGCGGGACAGACCTTCCACCTGGAGTTCTCTATCTTCTCTGGCATGGGACTGGGGGTCACAGCAGCAATGGGTTACGTGTCTGTCACTTTGCATACTTCTGTTGTCCTCCCCAGGCGGACAGTGGGCGCACTTTATAGGAGGTGGACTGAGGGTCAGCTGGGGCTAGCTGGGGGTGGGGTGTGGCATGGCTGGGTGAGGGGTCTGGGCTGTCCCCAAGCTCTTGTCGGCATTTCAAGCCCCCGTGAGCCAACAGTGGGGTGTCTGCCGCTGACCTGCAGCCCCTGCTGCTCTTACAGGGGAAGACCATGGACTTCGTGGATGTGAATGAGGGCAATGCTCGCTGGGTGCAGGATTTCCGCCTCAAGGCGTACGCCAGCCCTGCCAAGCTGGAGTCCATTGATGGTGAGGGGCCCAGGCTGCTGAGACCTTGCGGCTTTGGGGTGTGGGGGTTCTAGGTGGGTTTGTGGCCTCCGCAGTGCTCCCGTGCTTCTGCTTCTGATGTACTTGGCTTGCCACGAAGTGCTCGACTGTCCAGGGCAGCATTCATCCAGAATCCTGGGCCCAGAGTTCTCTGTCTAGAGGAGGGAGGTGGGTGGCACAGGGAAACACGGAAAAGTTAGGGAGGGCTTGTGGGTCTTGGGATTCCCAGTGTGTGTGTGGGGAGAAATGACAGATGATGGCATCTGACTGGTCCTCTTGGGGGGCTGATCCTGCCCCGCAGCCCCGCTCTCGGTGACTGCCCTGCTGTGACCTCCCCGCAGGTGCCCGGTACCACGCCCTCCTGATTCCCAGCTGTCCTGGGGCCCTGGCCGACCTGGCCAGCAGTGGCTCCCTGGCCCGCATCCTCCAGCACTTCCGCTCGGAGAACAGTAGGTGACGTGTGGGGCTGGGGTGTGGATGGGGTATGTAGGTTAGTGAGGAACGGCGCTCTGCCGGCAGACGGGACAGGTCAGTGCGATGTTTCAGGGCAGACAGGGCAGATGGGAGGAGCCTCCGATTTTGGCCCCAGAGGGCATGAGGGTACTGGGCTGTCCGCGGGGATGCACACATTCGAAGTGGGGTGCCCCTCAGGTCGCTCCTTCTGTGTGCCCTCTGCCTGTGTTCCAGGGGGGCCGGTGGCTGCCCCCCGTAGCTCCCTCTGAGGTGGGTGGCAACGTGCTGGCTTTGTTCCTCGTGGGGTTCAGGGTTTGAGGCCAGCGGGGGCTGGGAGAAAGGCTGTGCTGTGGAGATGTGGCCTGCTGCCTGGCCTGATGGGGATAGGATGCTTGTTAGGGACCAGCAGACAGAAACGCAGGGGCTCCACACAGCGTCCTTTGTTAGTGGGAGCAGGGCCTCCCGTTCCCAGCATGGTCTGGACAGAGAGTGATTGTTCCTGGCCACTGCCACCGTGGGAATGCCCGTGCGCCCACCCGACCTCGGGGAGGGCTCTGGGTGACTGTCGGGCAGGGCTGGGGCTCCGGAGGGACCGTGGAGGGACCGTCAGGGATGGTGTTCACAGGTGGGCTGCAGCCGTGCAGGGCGGGGACATCCACCAAGCCGGCCGTGGGTCTGCTGCGGCTTGGTCATGGGCCTGCCACACCCTGTGACGGCCTGTGTCTGCTCTTTGGCCGAAACCTGAGGAAGCAGCTGTGAACCAAGCCTAGTCCCGGTGCAGAAGCTGACTGGTGGGGAGGGAGCTTGGAGGCGGGAGGTGTTGGGAGAGGGGCAGGGGCCCCCGGGGGGGTGTCCATGGCCTTAGACCTTCTCTTCCTTTCAGAGCCTATCTGTGCGGTTGGCCATGGCGTCGCAGCTCTGTGCTGTGCCACCCACGAGGACCGATCCTGGGTCTTCCAGGGCTACAGCATCACAGGGGTGAGTGTTGCACAAGGGATGGTCCCAGGCATCAGAGACCTGCATATGTGCCTGAAAACTCAGGGACTGTCCCCTCTGGCAGGGGGACAGTCACTTGCCCAGACCGGGACCACAGGCTGGTAGCTGTGCTGCTTGCTCTCCCATCCCCTCCCCTGCTGACATCCAGGGTGGCCTCCAGGGCATGGCCCGTGGCTCTGGACATGGGGAGGGAAGCACAGGGGGCTCTTAATGGGGTACGGGGCAACTTTGGGGTGCCAAGGAAGGAGCTGACATAGTTTTAGTGCCTGTCATGTGCACGATACCCTTCGGGGCCAGGAAGTTTAGGTGCAGGGCCTGGAGTTGGAGAAGGAGCCTGGCCAGACAGGGGACCGGAGGGAGATCTAACGTGCAAGGATTGAAGCCTGACCATTTGGGGCTGTATGAGGCCAGCTTGGCAGGTGGTGCAGGGGGCTGGGGGAGGAGAGGCGCAGGAGCACCACCTCAGTGTGCGCCCCTACGACCCCGGGCCAGCTGTAGCCTCTCCGCACCCCTCCCAGGGCTCTGTGCCCTGCTGTTCCCCCAATTGTGCGCTGGGGGGTTCAGCTTGAGGCTGCCTGCTCAGTGCATTTACGGGCCCTGTGCTGGGGGAGGGCAACTGTGGGCGCTGTGGTGCCCTGACCTGGGGGTGGGAACCCGCTCCCCAACAGCCCTCTGTGTACGAGCTCGTCAGGGCACCTGGTTTTGCCCGCCTGCCCCTCATCGTGGAGGACTTTGTGAAGGATGCCGGCGCCAGCTTCAGTGGTGAGCCGGGGCTGGGGAGACACTGGCCAGGGGCCACAGCTGAGACCCAGGCTGGCTGCCTGGCGCTCTGGGGGCCCCTGAGAGGGAAGGGGTCCGGTTCTCAGGGTGCGCCTGGCCTGTGAGCCTGCCTGAAGCCCATGCTTTCGGGACGTCCTACAGCCAGTGAGCCCGACGCTGTGCACGTGGTGCTGGACCGCCACCTGGTCACAGGCCAGAATGCCAGCTCCACTGTCCCAGCTGTGCACAACCTGCTCTTTCTCTGCGGTGGCCGGTGAGGAGCCGTGGACGGCATGGGGGGCAGGGTCCTGGTTCTTGACCAGCCCTTTGCTGGAACTTGAGCCTCGACCGGACCCGTCCTGTAGGAAATGAGATGGCTTCCCGCCTGCCAGCGGACACAGCCCCCTCTAGACGACCGGATTCCTCAGGCCTCCAGGGACCCCGCCTCCATGACAGCCCGAGAGTGACTTCTGGATGCCCAGCTGGACCCAGCGGGATTGTTGGAGGCCTCTGAGAATTAGCCCTGAGGAGTGTGAGCTCTGGGGGAGGGGCCGCCCTCCCCACCCCCAGGCCACTTGCTTTCCCGGGGGCAGAGTAGTGGAGGGGCTCAGGGCCGTCAGGTGGTCTCTGAGAATTCCGCATGTGCTTGGCTCAGAGAGTTGGTCTGTGGGAGTCGGCCGTGGGGGTCCCCGTGTTTGTCTTGGATCCTTTGGTCTTCCTGTGCCCTGCTGGCTGGTCCCTCCCCTCTGCCTGTCCCTGTCCACCCTGACCAGTCTCTCTGGTGGTGGTGCCAGGACCCCATTGTGTGTGTTGAGGACAGGACCCAGGCTTCTGTGCTGCCCCCCCACTCCTGTAGGTGTTGGTGGGGGAAGCTATGGTCCAGCTGCCTGGGGCTGGCTCGGCACTTCCCGTTTGCCCAAGGCCAGGGGGCAGCTTGTGAGGGACACAGGCTCCTGGCCCCCAGGCGGGCCCCAGACCACTCGGTGCTGAAGGAGCAGCCCTGATTTTAATCCTTGCCGTGTGTGTGGGTTCAGAGTGTGACGGTAACACCGTGTGAGGCCATCGCTTCTGATGCTGAAACTGCTGGGTCTTCAGAAAGCAGCACTGCTCGCCCAGAGCCCTGCCCACGTGGTGTGGGTTTGCAGCTGCCCCAGAGCTTTCGAGGTAGAGTGACCAAAGTGCGGGTCCTGCTGGCCAGGAGCCCTGGAGCGGTGCCCCTCGGTCTACACCTATGTGTAGAGCCAGGCCTCAACAGGCCTGCGCGGGGGTGCTCCATCCCGACGTGGCCACTCACCTTCTGGGCTCGTGGGCCTCCAGGGGCTGGGCAGGTCCTCTTGCGCCCCACCTTGGCTTGTGCCCCTCCCCGACCTGGCTTGTGCGGCTTTGCTGCGTCTGACCCCCCGGAACGGAAGACGGGAAGGCGGCGGCGCCTCCCCCGCGCCACAGAGCGTGGAGATGCAGCCCTGCTCCTCTGGAGTTTTTCTGGGGGCATCGTGTCCGGAGCTCCTGATGCCACTGCCCAGCTGGCCGGCTCCACTGAGAGGCCTGGGTCCTCTGGGCCTCGGTCCCCACCACAGGGTGGTCGACATCTCTGGACAAGCTGTTTTAAAGTTCATGCCTTGTGAGCTCCGTCTCTTGTGATCTGTGAAGCGCTACCAACACTCGCCAAGCTCGGCCAGACGACTCCTGGGTTCCGGGTCGGTGCAGGGCGGGGCCCCCCCCAGTCCCGTTTGCTGCACCCACCGGAAGTAACCCACAGCCCCACAGGAGTGACCCGTGAGTGCCGGTGACAGCAGCAGCCGCCGTAACAGAGCGACTTAACGAATCGTAGTTTCCCTGACCCAAGTGTCCGTCACTGCCAGACGGCGCGAGTAGCCGTGTGCTAGGACGTCACTTGGCCTGGAAGAGGAATGGGGTCCTGGGAGCATCGTGCAGACCGAATCTGGACCGCGGCCTGCAAAGCCAGACCTCGGGTGTGTGTGAGTCCATTACACAGAGCAGAGTTGCTGTCGGGGGGTGAGGGGTGCACATGAACACGATGCCTCCTTCTGGGGGGACGGGAACGTCCTAAAGCTGGGGTCAGGGCACCCGGCTGGCTCGTGGAGCGCACACCTGTGTCTCGGGGTGGCAAGGGGAGTCTGTGCCCCACGTGGGGTGTAGACTGCTTCGAACAGTAAAATCTTTAGACCAGTCAGTCTTGGTGGTCCGCATGGCTCTAGGTATTAAGATCACCAGCTTGTACGTGTGAGCGGGTGGGCGGGCTTGATGTTGGCTATGTGTGCACGCACGTGTGACCCAGACCTGCAAGTCCTGGGGTGCGGCCTGTTGAGCAGCTGGCTGTCCGCCTGCCGGCTGAGCGCTGGGACACAGAGGTGCAAAGCCTTGCCCAGGACGTGGACACCCCGCTGCCCCCTGCACACCTTGGGGGCCGTGCTCAGCACAGGCCAGACCTGCTGGGGCCGGGCCAGGGTGCCCGCAGTGCGTCCCCTCTCCAAGGCCCTGCGCTGTGTGTCCTGCCGTTCCTGCTCTTGGGAGGTGGCCAAGGGGCCTCTGCAGAGCTAGCTGCCAGCCTGGGTGGACGGAGACCGGATGCCGGGGCATCTGGGCATCAGTGCTTGGTCCTTTAGTCTCAGCAGCCCTGTTCCTCACACCTGGCTCCCTCTGCACAGACCCTGGGGGGCGGCGGGGGCGGGGCCACCCCCACCAAGCCCTTTCCCCCTGCAGCAGCTTGAGAGCCTGCACACGCCAGTCGTGCCCACGAGGTGGCGCCACCCCCTCCCACGGAGCCGAGCACCAGGGCAGCTGGCAGGGGAAGGGGGCGCTGGACCAGCAACAGGAACGTGGCACAAGAGAAGTGACTGCGTGAATGAATTAGGCAAAATTTTATGTTGACTCTATGATCCATCCCTGCCCCGACTGGTAAAAAATGCAAAATTCATCACAAGGCATGTGCAATCGGCCCCGATTCAGACGGCCCAGATCTGTGGCCCGGCTCAGGCATGGCCCTATTTTCCGTTTTCTGTGCTGAACATGCGGCCCTAGAAGGGGAGAAAGGGAGAGCGTGAGAGGCGGGCGTACGCTCGTGGCCCCTGCCCCCTGCCCGGGCTGCTGCAGGAGGGGGTCCCGAAGCCTTGGGCCACAGTCTAGGCGGCCAGGGGAGTCGACAACCCCCAGCTCCGCCCCTGAGTGTGGGGCGCTCACCACCAGCATCCGCTCGAGCTTCACGGCGTCGGCAGCAAACTTCCGGATCCCGTCCGAGAGCTTCTCCACCGCCATCTGGTCCTCGTTGTGCAGCCAGCGGAAGGCCTTCTCATCCAGCTGGATCTTCTCCAGGTCGCTGGCCTGCGCTGCGGGGGACAGGCACCGGGGCCTCCCACAGCCGCCCGCACCCCCGTGTGTCCCAGCTCCTGTGGGGTCGGGCCGCCCAGCATCTCGGCAGGGCCCCGGCAAGGCTCCCTTGGCGGGCAGGACACCGGCTGCTTCGGGCCAGTCCCTCACCTCCACGCTCGGAAACCAGGGTGGAGGCGGCCGCTAGCCAAGGGGCAGAGGGCTTACCCGCCTTGGGCGACAGCACGGGCACCAGCTCGCTGCGGTCCTTGAGCAGCTCCCCCAGGAGCTTGGGCGAGATGGTGAGGAAGTCACAGCCGGCCAGCGCTTTGATCTCGCCGGTGTTGCGGAAGGAGGCGCCCATGACGATGGTCTTGTAGTCAAACTTCTTGTAGTAGTTGTAGATCTTGGTGACGCTCTTCACCCCTGGGGCCGCACACACGGTGTTCCCAATGGCCTTGTGGATGCCGGAGGCAGTGCCCGCCCAGGATGAGGCCCAGAGCTGCCACGGCTGTGCCCCCCCCACCTAGCTGTACCCCCAGGCTGGCTGCGCGCCCCCCACCCTGTTCCTTCAACAGGCAGCTCACCCGGGTCCTCCAGGGGCTCATAGGATTTCTTGTCTGTGTTGGCCACGTGCCAGTCGAGGATGCGGCCCACAAAGGGGGAGATGAGGGTCACCCCCGCCTCAGCGCAGGCCACGGCCTGGGCGAAGGAGAAGAGCAGCGTCATGTTGCAGTGGATGCCGTGCTGCTCCTCCAGCTCCCTGCGGGGACACAGGGCCCCCGGGTCAGCACAGCGGCTCACGTGTGCGACACCCGCCGGGGCGCTCTGCCTGGCGGGCTTCTCTGATAAACCTGTTTCCAAAACGAGGCCCTGAGAACCACGGTGGGTCTCCCTGGGCCAGGCCGGTGCGCCTGCACCCCCGGGGCTGCTGCCAGAGACCCCCCAAGTCCCCTCCCACCGCAGTGGCGACCTGTCCTCCGTCCCACCCTGACCTGCAGCCTCCCGGGCGCCCCCTGCCGGCCCCCCAATCCACTGGGACATCCTGGGGTTGAGCCTGGCCTGTAGGGCAGTGCTCACACTGCTGCGAGCTGGGGAGTGGGCTGTGACGGCTAAGCCTGTGCTCAGGCCCCTCTGGCCGTGTCTCTATCCACCAGGGACCTTGTCAGAGGGACCCATGCCCTGTGGCCCCCCAGCAGCATTCATGAAGCACGGCTGCAGGGAATGCGGACGCGGTGGTAGTGGCGGCACAGGCCCCGGCGCCCTGCAGCAGGGCCAGGCTCTCCCAGGGCCTGTGTGCCTGGTGCAGGTGCCTGCGGGAGGCCTCAGTGGGACCCAGCAGCCGTGCTGGTCTGACCCGACCTGTGGGGCGTGCCGGGAGGGTGACTTTACGGAGAGTGTGAGATGGAACACAGACTGCAGGAAACAGCCCAGGAGGAGAGTCCCCCAGGACGAGACCATCCATTCCTCCCCACACCAGGATGGCACGAGACGAAGCTGTGCCAGCCGGGGGGCTGCCCTGGCGGCGAGCGATCCGTGCAGAGCGCTCAGCTCACCGGCAAGCGGGCTGTCCTGCACGACCCCGAGGCCCCTTAGCGCCACTGCCAAGCAGGGACGCCCCCGGCCCCTCTTCCCACCCCACACCACCTTGCACTGCTGACTGTGCTGCGGGGCACATCTGCAGCCTTAGGAAATCGTGTGGCTGCGGCCCCGGGAGTGGCTCAGATGCATTTGGCCCACTGATCTGGACCTCCGCTGAGCAGTGTGAGCGACTGCGGGCACCGCTGCCCGAGACCCTGGCACCAGCAGCCTCCTCTGAGTTTCTGTTTCATTGGCAGATTCTTCCCGGCTTGGCCGCGCTACCCTGGTTTATCTGCTCGAGGACTGAGGAGACTAGCTGCCAGGGGCTCCGGGGAGAGGGTGGGCGTGAGCGGGACCGGCTGACCTGGTGTCAGTAATAACTTCTAGGAGTCTCAGAACAATTTTCCAATCACTGCTGACAAATAGAAAAACTGAGTAAACGGAAAAGGAGAGTAGGGCCGCGGATGACACCAGTGGGAAGCAGAGGGTCGCCCAAGGGGTGGCCAAGCACGGAGGGACTGTCCCACGTGGCACCCCCCTCCCACAGAGGTGCCCACGGGAGCAAACACGTGTCTGAACCTGTGCACAGCTGTTCCCAAAAGCACACTCGTGACAGCCCCAAGGGTGGACGTAGCCGTGTGTCCACGGAAGGGTGAGTGGACACACAAAAATGTGTAGACACGGTGGCACATTAGCCTGACCAGGGATGCAGCCCTGACCTGTGCCAGCAGGGGAGGGAAGCCAGACACGAAAGGCCACCTCATGAGATTCTACTGATGTCAAACAAGTGGGCTAGAGAGCCAGAAACAGGGTGGCTGAGCGGCCACGGGTGCCAGGCAGGCCAGTGAGCGCACAGGCCGAACACGTGTGACCAGACGCCCTCGCCCACTGCTGTGCCGGCACCCATGCTCTCTGGGCGAGAACACACGGAGGAAGGCTCCGGGCGGTTCGGCCGTACACATGTGGTTTAACGACAAGCTGCTTCTTCCAACTGATGGGAGACGGGGGGACGGGAGACTGGGGATCCCACAGGGGCTTTGGTGTCTCTGGACAGTGGTGACCTGGACCCCCCATGCTGGCCCTCTCTGGACTGAGGGTCGAGCGGGCCCGTGGCCACACAACCCCAGCCCCGGAATGGAAGCTGAGCCCCCAGCAGGCCCCTCAGAGGGATCCTTACTTTCCAGCCTGGATTCCTTCCCAGGTGGATGACAGCTTTATGAGGATCCTGTCCTTGCTGATCCCAGCTTCCTGGTAGAGCTCGATGAGACGCCGGGCCCGGGCCACCATGGCGTCCTTGTCAAAGGACAACCTGCAGGAACGAGAGGCCCCCTGTCAAGCCACGCACCTCGGACGCCCCCCGAGGAGGAGCGAGTGGGCACCCGCAGCCTGCCCAGCCCCACGCGGGGTGCAGCTTTGAGGCCCGCCGCACAGTCCCGTTCCTCCCCGGGATCTACCCAGCTCGTGCGTGGCAGGAAGGGCCACCACGGTTTCTCTGAGGGGAGCGGCCGAGTGCTTGCTGCCACGGCTGCGTCTCCACGCCAGCTGCGGCTTCTGCCCCTCGACCCCCCACGACCCCGAGTCCTTACCGCGCATCTACTTCTGTGGACACACGGCCCGGAATCTTCTTTAATATTTCAGCTCCAAACAACACAAAAAGTTTATCCATAGCATTTGTAATCTGTTCCTCTTGCGACCTGAAATTCAAAGAGACAAATTAGGCCAAAAGCTTTTAAGTTCACAGGATTCTACAAAATAAATTCTCTCATTCCTTTGCAGCAAATTCCTTTCCCTTCCATCTTGTTTTTTTTTCCGACTCGTGGCAAACACACAGCATGTCGTCCACCACTTTAAACCCATCGAGGGGCACGGCTCGGGGGCACTGAGGACGTTCACACCAGGCAGCCGGGCCCACCATCTGCCTCTGAGCTTCGCGTCATTCCAGACAGAACCTCTCCGCCTCGTGGCCCCTGACAAGCCTCTAGAGGAGGGAGAGGGGCCAGCTGCGGCGGGCCATGTGGCGAAGGGCAGGGCGGACTCCCGCTCGCGGCCTGTGCCTCGGTCCCCGCAGGCCCCCACCCGGCGGGGCACCGTCACCCCCACAGAGACCTCGAGCGCCATCAGGAAAAGGCACAGAGAGGGCGAGTAGAACCGGCCTGTGGTTGCCTAGGGGAGGAGCAGGGGCACCAGGGAACATTCTAGACTGCACTGTGGTGACTGCACCGCTGAAAAACTTTACCAGAAAAAACTGGACTGCACTGGGCGAGTCTTCCTGTAGCAAAGCTGTTA